CGACTTTCTAGACAGCAAGTAAGGAATTCTCATAGACCATTCGCCGCCTCCGAGGTGTGAGGTGGAAAAAAGGGTAGTCTAACAGTCTTGAAGGACAGGTCTGGGCACTCTCTTACCAAGGATGATGACACTGTTCGACGATGGAGGGAGTTCTTTGAGGAACTCCTCAATTCTGAGCAGTCGCAGGAAGACTCGTCTGCAGAACAGCAGGGAACGAATATTACTATTTCTGTAGATGAAATGGCACAAGCTTTGAAAAGCTTGAAAAATGCGAAGGCTGTTCATGTTGATCAAACCCGCCCTGAAATGGTCCAAGCGTTAGGCGAACAAGGAATGTGCTAGCTTACACGTGTCTGTCACACTGCAATGACTATGGGGAAGACAGCACCGGAGTGGGTGGGAGGTAATTGTACACTATTCAAGAAAGTAAACCACGAGGAGAGTTCCAATTGTCAGGGCATTATCTTGGTTTGCCGTCCGAGTCTATGCAAAGGTGCTAGAATAAAGATGCCGCGGAATATCTGGCTCCAAGATACAAGAAGAGCAGTGTGGCTTCCGGCCCGGTCGAAGCACCTCTGACCATATAATTGTCCTACGCAAGATTGTTGAGAAACCGTGGAAGTTCGCCCTTGCGGTTGACTTAGGGAAAGCGTATGACCGGATTCAGCGCGACAGTCTATGCGCGTGCCTGCGAGCATATGGGATCGACAGCCAGTTGCTGCGAGTCATCTAATCACTAAGTGTCGAAAGGTGGGATGAAGGCATTGTCTGACCGAACTCCTCGTTGAACAGGTAAGTGGTTGGCACTGACTATGTGACGACTGCCATCGTGCTTCCTTGGTGAAATGGGAATGACTCTATCCATTGAAATCACACACCTCTATTTTCTCGGTATTATTAAAATCAAAATTAAAAGTTGCGAAATTTAATTGTAAGAACCTGCATATTTTGAGGCGACAGTACCCAGAAACGGAAACTTTAACACAGACGGCTGGGGACCTTCCGCAGCTTGTGCTGCTAAATCAGGTGACAACGAGCCGATGCTGAACTGCAGACCAAACGGGTTGACTATGACCAGACAGGCGCAGATCGCCAGCAGCGTCGCCTTTGGCCGGTACCAGTTATGGTCAGTTGCAACAGCTGGCAGTGAGGTGTGGTCAGAAATCTTGCTCTCGTCGAACTGAAGTGAATCAGATAAAATATGGGGAACAGAATGAAGATTTACACATAATGGTGAGCGATGACTTACCGAGCTGTTGCTGACGGATTCCTGAGTGTCTGGCGTAGCACCGCTGGGCAGAGTCGAGTT